GAAGATCTAATGCAAAGAAAACAAATCACAAACCAATCAACCACGCAAGACCCACTGCAAATGCAAACAAGACAAAGCAAAAAGCAATCAAACAGATCGTGGAAGATTAGGGGGAAAAACTGAAAAGCAAACAAACTCCCGAAGACCCATCGGAAATGGGGGGAAAATCCAAAAAGCAAGGAACCCCCCCAAGACTCCTAGGAAATGGGGGGGGAAATCCAAAAAGCAACCAAATCCTCAAAGACAATCAGAAATTGGGGGGGGGGACCAAAACACAAAACCCCCAAGACCCATCACAGCACAGAAACATAACCCCCCAGCTCAAAACCACACTGCAAAAACACTCAGAACAGTTTTTAAAAAGCAGAAAACAGCACCTTACCTTACAAGGCAGCCCAAAGCCTCCCTGCAAACACACACACACACACACTCTCAGAAGCAGAAGGAGGCAGTCCCAAGCCTCCGACAACGACGCACACTCTCTAATTGCTGGGGCGAAAGAGCTACAAAGAAGCAGCTTCATCGCCACCTAGTTAGAAATTTGAATTTCCTGCCTTTTCTCCCTGCCTTTTTCTGTTTGTATGAGGAAGCTCCAGTTGCAAATAGAAACAAAATTTTGTGGCCAGAGCTGGTCGTAACTCGAAATGGTCGTAAGTAGGGGCATTCGTAAGTCGAGGCACCACTGTGTGTAATGGTGGGGAAAATTCAAGAATAAATTAAGAGTTGAAATATAAGGTTGATCAAGTGATATTTCTCCTCTTCATATACTGGCCAAAGTCCTACTATTGTTCATACAAGGTTTGCATAACTTGCCATAGCTAATTGCAACTAACTGCCAAAGGGTGGAAACACATCTCAGTCATGTACCTAGTCATACACCCAACATGGCAACCTAGATATGCTCTGACACTTTAATAATCAGTAACAGCAGTTACTCAAACCTTACATAAACACCTACAAAATCCCCCCATAGCTGTTAAGTAGTTACAGTGATGCCTCGCAAGACAAAAACAATTCATTCTGCGGGTCGTGTCGTCTTGTGAAATGTTCATCTTGCGAGGCATAGTTTCCCATAGGAATGCACTGAAATTTAATTAATGCATTCCTATAGGTGAAAAAAGTCACTTACCAGGTAGCCCTGGAGATCAAGGAGCATCTGTAACAAGGGCCCGGAATACCGCCCCCTCCGCCTGCTGCATTCATCCGCCTCCACCTCTTTGGCACATGGGGGGCTTCTCCCCCAGATGTTTGCGTCCAGTTCTATTGGATCCTGGCGCTGTTTCCTCCTAAGGCAGACCTAGGCAAAATCCAGCCCGCGGGCCATTCTTATCCGGCCCGCGGGTCGCTGCTGAGTGAAAGCCCAAAGGGCTGCCTCTCTGCCGGGCAGGCGGTTGAGGGAAAGTGGAGGGAACTGCCTTCGTCCCTCATGGATGGGCTTCCGAAGCCCGCCTCAGTCTCTTCCTCTGCCTGCCCATGGCTGGGCCGGCCTGACAGGCCCAAGCACCGTCATCGCCACCACGGCCCTGCCTCTCAGCTCGTTGGGGCAGCCATGGCGGGGTTGGCGGCGGTGGCGGGAGAGTGGTGCTGTCATGGCCTCCGGCGACCGTGGTGCCCGTGAGTGGCAGCCGGGCGAGGGAAGTGGGGCAGCCATTGCGAGGAAGAAGGGGCAGAAGGTGATGCCTTTGCCTCTGCTCCTCTCCAAGGCCCCTCATTTGTGTGTGTGTGTGTGTGTGTCTGTGTTTCGAGGCTAGCAGCCTCACAGGCCCTGAACAGGCGAACGGGTTTGTTGTGCTGCGAAAGACATTTGTTCGCCTTAGTCTCATCTTCTGCCTTTTTTCCCTCTCTGTCTCTCTGTATCTTTCCCCCCCTTCTTTCCCTTCCATTTCACGAATGTACCAAGACAGACCGCACAAGACGGGCGGCTTGGGCAGGACAAGGGTACCTCTGAGCATGTGCAGAGAGCCGGTTCCCCACCAAGGAATACCTGGCCGCAGCCCTCCCCACCTGATGTGGTGTCGTGGAGAAAGTGGAGGAGAGATTTCTGCTTGAGCCCAGGCAAAGGCAATTTAAGAGGCAGCCTCTCTGAATTTTAGGAGATGGCATGACTTTATGCAGAAGATGCTCAGGGCTTCCTTTTGGCTTCCCTCCCCAGGTTGTGCTCAGGTTGAACCAGCAGACAGCTTTTGTCAGGTCCAGCCACGTTCACATGACCAAACAGCTGTGCAGAGGCTGCTTGAAAATGCATTGAGCGCCTCAGCAAACTTGGTTAGGGACGAACTGAGAAATGAGCCTGGTACAATTTGCTTCCACCTTGTCCCAAAGCACTGTTGCTATTTGGACATTGATTTTAAAATCCCGTAGTATTTGTGAAGATTAACAAGTTTAAAATAAAAACAAGCATCACAGTTTCATTTCATTTTTAAGTAAAGTTGGTTCAGCCCCCGAACACAGTTCAGATTTTTCATATGGCCCCCTACAGAAATTAATTGCCCACCCCATCCTAAGTGGTGTGTGTGAGCAGAGCACCGAACAGCTGAGAGGCGTCAACCAGCTGAGAGGCGGCAGCTATGCCATGGTCGTCACCGCTGGTTGCTGCCTCAGCTGTTCGGCGCTCTGCTCACACACACCCCTTAGGAGGAAATAACTCCAGGATCCAATAGAACAGCACCCTCTGCCCTCCTCTCAGCTGTTCTATTGGACCCTGACACTCTCACACACCCCTTAGGAGCACCAGGATCCAATAGAACAGCTCAGAGGCAGGCAGAGGGGCTGTTCTATTGGATCCTGGCGCCGTTTCCTCCTAAGGGGTGTGTGTAAGCAGAGCGCCGAACAGCTGAGAGGCGGCAACCAGCTGAGAGGCAGGCGGAGGGGGGCATTTTATTAATAATAAACCCTGAGAGGGTTGCCACCTCTCAGCTATTCGGCATTGTGCTCACACACACCCCTTAGGAGGAAATAGCACCAAGATCGAATAGAACAGCCAAACTCAAACATCCGGGGGAGAAGCCCTGGGCGTGCCAAAGAGGCGGATGAATACGGCGTGGGCAGGCAGCATTCTGAGTCGTTGTTACAGACGCTCCTTGGTCTCGGGAGCTACCTGGTAAGTGACTTTTTTCGCCCATAGGAATGCAACACTGTACGTATCTCTGGAGATAGTCAAACTAGAGACAAGCAGTTTGAAAGCCTTCTGGTGATCTCCATTAGATTAAGTTCTATGGGAGACAGAAAGGTTAACCTATACAATTTAGATTAAATCCTTTCAAAATAAGCCCCATTTATAAACCTTTTAAAAATATACAAATTAATTGTTTCATAATACAGAATTAGAATTTATAATCCCTATTTCATAATTAGGCATTTGATCTATAAAACAATTTACATGACAACTCATCACATACAGGTTTTCCCCTCAAGAAAATGCATTTTAACAACACAAATAAAAATAAATTCAATTTAAATGAAGCAAATAGAACTAAATTTTAAATACCTGTTTTTAGTTTTCTAAAATAAACTAACTGATTTTTATCCTCTCTGAAAGGCATGTGGTATATTCATGGCTGAACTGAGATTTCAGCCAAGGAATAGATACATTAAGTATAGATACTTAGCTCACTCTCTAAATTGCTATGCAATGCCACTGTCATGCTAAAAATGATTACTGTATTTTGAAAAATTAACTCCAAGAACACTGTCTTATGAATTGAGAACACACATGTACAGTATTATGGAACAGAAATACAGAATAATTTCCCATGGACAGCTCATGAAACTGTGTCTATGCATTCTGAATTTACACTGAAATTGCAACCAATCAGAATTCTTCTTCATTTCTGTACTTGGTACTCAACATTTTCCTTCTAGTCCAGAAATAACACTATTTTACTGCTTCAACCAAAACAGAATCAAGATCTAAAAACATTTAACACCAACACAACACAGGCTTGTTTTTCAGGAGACATGGAAATCAAGTTGAACAACTATAATTGAGAAAAGTCAGGAACACGGCACACTTTAGAAACATGTTAGCACCAAAGAGCTCCCAGCCACTTGCTCTTCAGTTATAATGATTCACCTATGGCACAAGCAGTACTTGATTTTCAATACTATCCAACAGCTCCTGGTGCATTTCAAATGGAAGTCCAAAATACGGCAAAACAAAGCCACAAGTTAGCAATGCAACTCAAGACTTTTAGGAATTATATGAAAATGGTTCAAAACATTGCTTATTTTTACTTTGTCTTCCAGAAAATGATTGTACAATGAATACTGTCAACACTCAAATATTTGTTAAGGGATCTATATGAATATATATCAGTTGAATTCCATAATGACATTCTGCAGTCTAAACGGGTGTTCTACCACCAGCCCTTTCAACATTTTCCTGGTTCCTTCAGTCCTGCTTGCTTCTCTCAAACAAAGAAACACCAGCTCTGTAAGGCGTCAACAGCTACTAAGAACGCACGAAAGAGCAGATAAATTTAAAGGGTAGACTTGCATATTATACTGTAAATATGATGAAAGACCAGAAGTATAGATGAATCACCACTGGAGCACATGAACTTAGAAACAGAAGCAATGTGAGAAGCCAAAAGAGAAGTGATTTTGATCATGAGAGAACAGGACAGCCCTCCTGAGTAGCAAGTAATCAAACATGAGGAGTAAGCCACTGCAAATTCCCACAAGTATGACCAACCCCGCTCCCCCACAAACCAGATCAACTGTATTGTTCATAACCCAATAAGCCTATCATTTGGAAGGTGCATTAACTACATATGGTCACTACCACCCTTAAGATTTCCACTACTGAAGATCAATATTTAGAACTAACCTTAATAGCATTCAAAGTTGCTCAATGTTATTTGGACAGATGAAATCACATTAAAGGAAATATACTAAGCTCTAAATCTGAAAAATCATTGCCTAAAAGCTAGTGAAGTGTGGCAGCTCAAAATAGCTTCTTAAACATTCAAAAATGTATATTTACTATAGATGTTTCTTACCACTAAGCAGTTCTATCCAGTTCTGCACTGTTTCTGGAGGTTGTGTTTCCTTAATGTGCTTCAGAGCTTCATCAAGTAGAACATCCCCTGTAGGAGCATCTGATTTACAGATTACCTGATGGGAAACAGAAGAGTTCACTTCGGCATCCCCAACTTTCGCTTGTGGCTTTTTAAAACACCAAGGATCATAATTGTGTGCAAGCAATAGAATAGTACTACATACTGCATCTTAAGGTTCAGTACTGGAATTCTACCTCTTCTTGGGCTGCTGTCAAACCTTTTCACAATCATAACTATCTTCAACATATCTGAAGACCTATATTGTCAGGCCATCTAGCTCAAGTACATTTTGATTATGTATCCATTAAGCCAACAAACCCTTCCATTCATAAACATACATATTTAGTTTATAGTGAAAGTTTATAACAGGTCTTTGACCAAACACTAAACATGGTACAAATTTCATCCTGTAGATTATATTAAGAACTTCAGTGCAGAATAATTATACCAAAATTAGTAAATCTAAAACTGTATGAATTAAAAAGAATGAAACTATGGAGAAATAATGAGTAAGTACATCAAAACTATTCCTTCAAACAAAGAAGAAAATCTATGTACCTGTATTTACATTAGTATGTTATGTATTTACTAAAATAGTCAATAGGTTTCGTAATGGAAAACAATTGTTTTAATTAATAACCTATCTCTTGTTGCCATGAAACCAAATTCTATCATAGAGCCAGCTTTTCCAACCTGGACTATAAGTTGTTCTGCACTACAACTAGCTATTTCTCCCAGCAAATGTGGCTGATCATCAGGGATGATAGGAGCTGTAGTCCAAAATATCTAGCGGCACCCATTTGGGAAAGGTTGCCATAGAGCAGTGGTTCTTAACCTTTGTTACTCAGATGCTTTTGAACTGCAACTCCCAGAACCCCCAGTCAGCACAGCTGGTGGTGAAGGCTTCTGAGAGTTGCAGTCCAAAACTCCTGAGTAATCCAAGGTTAAGAACCAGTGCCATAGAGCAGTGATCCCCAACCTTGGGCCTCCAGATGTTGTTGGACTACAACTCCCAGAAGCCTTCACCACCATCTCTGCTGGCCAGGATTTCTGGCAGTTAAAGTCCAAGAACATCTGGAGGCCCAAGGTTGCGGACCACTGCCATAGAGGATGACCTATGAAATCAACAAGTCCCATTCATTCAAGATTCCTACAGTATAAACATCAGAACTCTGAATTGGGGCAGGGGGGGGAGCAACAATCACAGAAGAGGAAAACAGAAAAGCACACATGTTTATTTCAGATGTATTCTGAATCTGAATTTTCTAACAGATCAACAAAGGGAAGAAAGGAGGGGAAAAGGTAGCCACAACTCTTTAGAAAGACTCATATCACAGAGGAGGTTACTAGTAACAGGTAAAAAAGAGTGATGCATAGTTATATGAGAGAATGTATAAAGAAGGTAACACTTGGCAAAAAAATAAATAAATAAAAGGAAAAAGAAAAAAGGTGAGGATTACCCTCACTTTCAATGTCAAATCCCACTGTTCCTGGCCTGAGAAACAAGGAAAATTAAAAGCATCTTTGGTGATGTTAGAAGAATCTAAGAGCAGCCTGTTGTAGGTCATGGGGAAAGGGTATCTGGCCTCCCCAATACATGGAATTTGTAGAACATTAAGAAGGCAATGCATGATTACATAAAACAGAGGGACTGGTGTGATGACTACTGAGAATCACAAAGAACAGAGCACTGGGAGCTAGCAAACATGCACACGCATGTTCATAGCTGTAGAAAATAGGCTGGAGTAGCCTTAAGGTATCAAGGATTTCACAACTGGTGATAAGCTCTGGTCACACATCTCCTGTGTATCTGTTACATTCCACAGAATCTCAAGTGCTATTGATGAGCTCAGATGTTAAGACATGTGACAGATAACCTTGTAAACAACCAAAATTTAACAAATATCTCTAATTCTAACAGAGCCTAGAGCAAAGGAGAAGTGCTAATTCTCTCATAAGACCTGTGATTCTACTGCCTGGCCCTAATCTTTCTGCTAACTCAAAGTCTGGCTGCAAGGACTTGCTGAGAAATGTTAACAAGATCTTCACAATGTCCAGGAAATATTACTTTAAATGTTCTTTAACCTCAATCACAAGGTGACTGTGGCAAAACAGGAATACATGGGATAAAAGCTGGGTTGTATTTCATAAATACTTCTCTATTATGAAATGCTTTATATAAAACATATTATCTTGCTGTATCTATTGTTATAACTCAAATAAGTATTACTAGCTTGTTGTACAAGTCATATGGAACATCTTGTTTTTCATACTTCAGTAATGCAAGCTTAATCAGCAGGATCTGATAAAATGTGCTTTGTTGATGTGTACAAGCAACTCTATTAATTATCACCAAGTGAAAATCAATGGATTGGATCCTAACATCAAATCCAGCAGTAGAAGAGATTATTTTTGCAAAGTTACCCTCCAGAGCAAATTTCTGAAAGGTGCACATAGTTAGTGAAGAAGGAACTGAAGTACAGTACATGGATGTATTAATATTCAGTATATGAAACATATACTACTGGCTCAACTCTTTGACACCTCCAGATTAGGTCCTCAAAGCTTCCACTCTGTCTCTGACTGGCTAGTGGACATCAGTTCCTTCTTCAGAAAAAGAGTAGAGGGAAAGGGGGGGGTGAAAAAGAAAAGAAAAAGAGTGGGGTTCATAAGCATTACTACTTCAGTTCCAAACTACACAGCACTGCTTAAAGAAAACTTGTCAGTCTTCAAAGTGCCACAATATCCCTTCTGCTCATTTTATTAACTAGATCCCATAATTGTAAAAACATTATCACTGAACCAGTATAGGGAGGAATGAATGTAAAAATTATATCCCACATACAGACCTGCAATGGGCCTGCAGACAGAAATACTGCATGCCTAGCATGAACAAGGCCTATCTAGTCTGAGCATCATTTGAACATTTATTTACTGTAAAGTAAGTTGTTTGCTTCAGATAACCAACATTACATCTCTTAGACTTTTATTTAAAGTATCTAACTGAAATACTCTAATGCAAGCTACTACAACATTGCTATTTCAAGAAACATCCCTAAATTTGTAGCAAACTAAAGGATTCTGGAAGCTTAATGAAGAGGAGATGCATTTCATACAAATCATAAATAAATGCAGCTGTACATGAGCAATAACTGCCTTTATAGAAAGACTCAATTCTGAATAGGAAGGCAGTATGGAAACTTTTCAAACTTGTATCTTAAATAGGTAAGCAAAAGGTAATATTTACAAGGGAAGACTGCCCAAGCAGACATTTTTGTGGCAGAAAATGAAGCATTTTTCCACAAGTTCTCTGCAGAAAAAAAACTGTTTTCACAGAATGCCAACAAAATCATCCACAAACAGCAACACAGACAGATTCATCGCCTAACAAGGCCTTGGATTCAACAACTTGCCCAAACACTTGCCTTTAAATAGTGGCCACATAAGTAATATTAAATAAATGGCTTAAAAATTATTTATACCAAAATGCTCTCAGACTCTTTATAAATGCTATGTATGTGGTCCTGCAAAAGGGTAAAGTGTGTGAAAACCCTGCTGTAGAAGTGTGTTAAAACCCTGCTGTAGAAGCAGGGTGGGGCATAGAGCTAAAAAAGAATATTTTACTCTCTACCTCTTACCTTTCTAGTTAGCAGACTTTTGCGTCTCATTCCACATGCCTCCAGCTGAAGACGTCCTCTCAGTGCCAATTCAATCAACATGCATCCACGAAGCCCAGAAGAAATGCAGTCATTCCAAAATGATGTATAACCCTGGAAAAAAATATATAATATATCCTTCAGTTACGGTTGTCATATTACCCAGCTGGGTGGATTTTGGGTAAGATTTTGCCCAAATCTTAGCTATGCTATATGGACCATCTCTTGGCCTGGCATCTTTATTTTAATTATTTAAAAAAAAAACCTCTCTAGCCATTATAGCAGAGATGTAGAAAAGAATTTTCAATGCTACATTTTTCATGGAAACTGCCATAAGGAATCTAAACATTCCAACAACAGCAGCTTCTTGTGAAAAGAAATGGAAGGCTTTTGGCTCAACAAGGGCAAAAAAGAGGAATCAATTGACAAATAAATGCACTACTAAGCTTGTTTCAGTATCACAAAAACTCTTGCTTTTCAATCAGTCATATGCAGTCAAGATAAAATGTGGTAAGTTGCCTGCGCATACAGTTGCATTCATCTTTAAGTAAAACATAATGTTCAACTAGCTGTATGGAATCAGATTTTTCTCAACTTGAAATGGAATTGTGAAATACTGCAGAGTGAGCTGAGTGAGTGAAGCTGAGAGTACTATACCTCAACAAATGAAAATTAATGTGTTGATATAAGATCAGGTAGAGTTTTCTTTATATAAGTGTCCTAAAAAGCTTTCTGTTAAATATAAGGAAGTGTACGTATGCTGTTCTTTTTAGATTACTACACATATTCCAACAAAATAATTTCCATATAAAGCTTTCCATGTGTTTGAATATAACATTTAAACCAAACATTTAAGTCAGATAACATTATTTAGAACAGTTTTTCCAGAAAACACGCATCATTCCCTTCTAGAACTGAGATAGAAGGCAAAATATCTAGTCAATGATTGGCCCAAATATTCTCTAATTAAGGAGCATTTCTGCATGCAATACTGAAAAATCATCTTCTCACAATTAAGGGATAAATGCTGCAATACAGGAAGACTCATTCTACTTTGATTGCAGACAAATTTCGTTTCACAGAGGTGCCTGCAAATACAGAAAGCAATGAAGCTCTAGGAATAAATGAAGGGGTATGCAACAAAACAAAACTACTTTGCAAAGTTGGATCAAAACTTGTAGCATCTTAAGTTTTTTTTAGTATTTAAGGTACTCCGCCATTTCTGCTGTAATCAATTTGGCATGGCAATATTATTCAGAACCTAAAGAAAGTTACTTTCTTTGTCTATCATGCTTACAGGAGGATTACAGAAGTTGCAGACCAAAAAGAACATTTTCCAAGCTCTGATTTTATGAATCCCACTGGGCTTCCAGGAAAAAAAATATCAAATTCTATTTTATCTTCCACAACCATATGGGATCTTAGCTGAGCACTAGCCTGAGAAAAGGAGGTGTTGAGAAAGGCAAGAAGAGAAGACAGAAACTTACTAAGTATGTGCATTGTTGCAAAACCTTAGCTTTCTGGAAAGATGTTTCAGATACAGTAATGACAAGAAAACAATAACACTGTTAAGTACTAATTTTACTTTTATTTCTCCTAAGGGTTCAATATGGTCCTTAGTCAGATACACATCTTATCAAATTAAAAGGGATTTAAACTTGAGTAAATGTGCATAGAAAAATGAAATACCTTTACTCACTAGGAAGCAGAGACTGGCAAACTTACTTTCTTGAACTGCAATTTACAGAGTCCTCTAATGCCATGCTAAAAGCCTGAAAAAGTCACTCCTGAGCATCTCATTATACACTACAGTGTAGTCCATAACAGAGAAACAAAACAATAGCTATTAGGTTTAGGGATGGTGAAAGGATATACATTAAGAAATGGAAGCAAACAGTGGAAGTGTGTTTTTAAAGGGGTATATTCCTGCCACACCAGATTGACCCTGACTTTGAAATATAAATACTTCTTACAAAAACCACTACCTTTGAAAGTTTTTGGAGCAACAGCTGTATTAGTCTGTTGCAACAAACACAGCAGACAATATTGTGGCACTTTGAAGACTGACAAGTTTTATTTGTCATAAACTTTTCTGGGATTACAGCCCACTCTTGTTAAATGTTCAGCGTATTACCTTAATTATTATATATGTGTGTGATTAGGAAACTGCAGACATGGCATGGAAATGCATAAAGTACAAACAGTAATCATTACATTAAATGTGATTAATGATTGATTTGGTGATAGCACAAACATCTAGCACATAAGAGCTGATTAGCATATTGCAATGATAAGGAAGTTAGCCTGGAATATTTTCTAATAATATGAAAACTTTTAATTTCTAAAGGAAATAACATTTTATATTCTTCCTCATAATCCTGCAATTTAATCTCACTTCCCTTACATTTTTCCTGCAAACTAGATTATACTGTATCACTTATGATGGATTCTTATGGCATTCTCACAGATCCTATTGTAGGACTTACTTACTTCCTTCCCAATGTCTTTATTTAGTTTTATGCACTAGCAGTACATATGGCAATTTTATATGCTTCCCCTCTCCCTTATTTTTCTTCAAAACAACAGTGCAACTGGCTCAAGGAAATCCCCTAAACTTTATGAGCAACTGGAGACATGAAATTAAATTTTCCTATTTCAAGTTCAGTGCTATGATGCATGCACTAAACTGGCCTTCTCCAATACGTACTTGCTATATAAATGGTACCAAAGATGAAACATAATGGTAGGGGAAAATGTAACTATAATGCATCTGATGCAACTACACACCTGGGGAAAATACACTTGGATCTGATGTGATCTGCATTTTTTTCAAATGGGGCTTCCATGAACATCACTTCAGCCATCCACACATTCGATATTTTACAGGGATCAGCAGGAGCAGAGCCATCATAGCACAGCAAAAGCTGTCTCTAACAAGGTGCTAATTAGCCATTTCCACCAGTTTTTAATTGACTTTCCTGAAGTGACCTAGTGATATAGTAGTCCAATGCTGTCTTGAAACTTTAAAAAAAACTTGTTTGCAGATAGCAGGCACTCTGTTAAGGGAAACTGACACTCCACAAGTGCTCCCCTTTGCCCTTGAACTGAGGAATTACACTGGGCAGGAAGTGGAAAAAAAGAATAGCAACTCAATTGGAGCATATTTAAACCACACTTTACTAAACTAAAAAAAACAATTCCCCACTAAAGAGAGACAATTCCACAAAGGGGTTCCCTACAGTAAGCTTTACACTGCACAGCTGCTGGGTTTTAATTTAAACTTAGGACAAATGGCCAATGCAGTCGTCCTGGTACATAGTACACTGCCTAGATGTGGAGCAATGTGAATGTATAATGTGGAATAGATGCGGAGCACTATAATACATCAACAGGAATGGAGAGGCATGTCACCTCTGATAATTGGACCATAATACTGCCATCATGGCACATAGATCCTTTTTAGATAATACTATTCATTCATTCATTCATTCATTCATTCATTCAACTTCTATACCACCCATCTGTCTACCAAGGCCACTCTGGGCAGTTCACAGCACAATAAAACAACAGACTACACTTTGAAAAAACACTGGACATAATGACTATACCAACTATAAGAACACTTTTGAATAAAAGAATCTGCCCTATATGACCCTAAACAGTTATGATATAAAAAGAGTACACTAAACACTAAGTACTCAAGAGGATTATCTAATTTATTCCTTTTTTTAAAAAAAAATTCTTTTATGGGTTCTATAATGTGATCAACTTTCTAATAAACCTTCATGGAATATTTTGCATGTATAAATAACATGATCTCATTATCTATTCCAAGCTTATCATCAAATGCAGACAATCTGATTGAAATTAAATGGTCTGATTCCTAAGATTTGGGAAATCACTGATATATGTCATTGATACTAGTGTCTTCTTGTTCTGTGCCATCAGGTCAGAACCGTGTCTTAATGATGAGAAATCCCTAAAAATACTTATTTCAAAGTTTTCATTTCAGTGTCCATGGTTCTGATAAAGTGTCATAAGAAACACCAGTCTAGTAAAGTTAAGAAAACAAAATCAAACAGCCACTTTGAAACAAATATATTTCCTGCTCCATTAGGAGCTGCAAAGTCTAAGGTTCTGCATATTCAAAGTCATAAAGTTACATACTAAAAGGATTCTAGTTAAATGAGGCTTGAAATAAAAGTAAATTCTCATAAACTTCCTCTTGGACTGTCATCAAAATTCAGATGAATGGATTTTCAACAACCCCTTTTCAATTTTCAAGTGAACATTCTAACATTACATGCACATCTACAAAACAGAATAAAAACTAAAAGGGCATTATACCAACACACTACTGATGTGAAATATTCTTTACAAATCTTACTTATCTCTTGGTTATCCTGTTTGCTACTTGTTCCATTCTGTTTAATGTTCCCCCATAGGAGCATTGTTGAAAAAGCCTTTTGCTTTCTCAGGGGAATTGGGACTAAGGGAGCATTTTGTGAAATCTCTACAAAGAATGTTTATTTTTATTTGTTTGTTCATGAGTTTAAATAAAGCTTCATGAACTGTTTAAGTTAATCATAACATTTTGGCTTGGATCCAGAGCTCTGTGAGCACAACTTTGCTACAGCTGCTTCCTCTGATGGAACAGGAGAGTGGGATCTCTACTACAAGAGTCCCCAACGCCCTCTGTGGCCCTGGCAGGACCGGGCTGCGGAGAAAGATCCGTGTTTGCCCCCCCTGCACACACGCCTCCCACATACATGCCCGGACGCACACATGCCCTACCCACACATGCACAGATGCATGCATGGTGTCCCCATGCATGCCGGACACCCACCCACGCATGCACGCACAGGTGCCCCCGTCTGCTCACACACGCATTCCCTGCCGACCTATGCCCGTACACACACATGCCCCACCCATGCCTGCACCGACCCCCTGCCCGCTAAACCAGTCTGCGGTTTGGAAAAGGTTGGGAACCACTGCTCTACTGGATCTCAGTCCTTTCCAAATAGCCCTTCCACCCACAGAAGCAGTACTCTGGATCCAAGCCATTATATCAACAAGATATTTAAACTATGGAAGTCATCACCTTGCTTTTAATT